ATGAGCAAAATCAACGTTGTTTCAATGTCATGAGAGACGTGTTTCCACGTTGATTCAATGTCAGTTTGCTGTCTGGGTAGTATAGCATAGTGTAATTAAAAAGGCTTTATCGAGGCTGAAGATCACATTCACCCTCAACAGATCCCAGAGTTAATGCTTCTTTTTCTAAAAAAAAGCATTATTAACATAAATCATTATGAAAGAGTGATTCATGTACTGTAACAATCTAAACCCGTGCCAGCATGCTACTCGTGTATCTTACAAAGTAAGACATTTATCGGAGACAACTGCTGCTATCGCTTCTTGAGTTACAGTGGCACACAAACAATTGCTCTGTACCAGGACAACAGTGGGCCAAAAATAACACCACTATCGCTCACAGCACAAACACAGTTCAGACACGGACACACACACTAAACCACCGTTCATGCACTATCACAGGTGAACACGCACTCTCTCTGCGCTTGCCACAGGGCTTCAGAGCGAGGCAGGGACGATCTTTTCATCACCCGTGAAGATACAGTCTTGCCACAATACACCTGCCAGAGCCCGACAGGCAAATTGGATTTGTGGAGATTGGTATCGTGTAGGCATGACAGTACTGCTAACCTGACTTAATTTGTCCAGAGCCTCCTCACCACAGCCATGACAAAATAAATCAAACGCAGCCGTGAGGCTCCTTTATCAGACACGAGCATGAGCTCCTGGGAGACGACGACATCTCCGTTCTGGAAGGAACTCACCTTTCTCCTTGCAGCTGCCTAAATAGACCTTCTTGAGCTCCAGATTGCTCTGCAGGGCCGTACGCTCCATCTGACACTCGCTATCGTAGGTGCGGCCATCACTGGCGCAGATGGGCGTAGTGTCGGGCAGGCAGGACTCAGCTGGGGAGAAGGTGAACTGCTTGTACGTTTTTGGGTTCACCCGACAGGCCACATTCACGCTATTCAGAGTGTCGCTGCAAGGATCTGAGGATGAAATTGAAAAAAAAAATGAGTTAGACCAAGGAAAAAAAAAAAATAGAATCAGCTTGTATTATCAAACACGAGTGTTAGCTGGTTAAACAAATAGTGACTCTACTGTTCGAACTCGTTTATCTAAATGAATGAATCTTTTTTCGTGTCGTTGGGTTCATTCAACGCAAGAAATGAACAAATTGACTCGGAAAAAGATTCGTTCATTTTGATGAACAAGATCGAACAGGAGTGTCACGAACGTGCATCACAGAACAGAGCAAGGCGACCATTTGAGCTAATAAAACATAAACTTTGTTATTTTTTTTTTTAATGAGCGATCGTTTCACTTGATAAGACCCTTATTCATCGTCTGGAATCGTTTAAAGCCCTTTAGAACAGTTTGCAGTTTGCACTGAAACTGTCTTTTGGACCTTGAACCGTTTGGTTACTAGTAAAGTGCATTATATGGAGAAAAATCCTGGAATGTTTTCATCAAAAACCTTAATTTCTTTTCGACTGAAGAAAGAATGACATGGACATCTTGGATGACATGGGGGTGAGTAAATTATCAGCAAAAGTTTTTTTTTTAAAGTGAACTAGTCCTTTAAAGAACAGGGACTACACTTTTTATCTATTAACTCTTTGCAAAGCATAACTATCAAAAATATTTACTGCATTTGATACTGCATTTGATTTACTGCATTTGATTTACTGCACAAATTTCTTAACCATTAGTAAAGTACTTTCTATACATATTATAAAGATGTCCATTTTTTCCCCTAGTATTTCTTGGTCATCACATTCAAATCAGATGGAAACAAACACTTTTATTTTGCCATATTGTTCATTGAACCACTGCAAAACTTCATGAAAATAATTCACAAAAACTTAAAGGCAAAATCAGTTCGTTTTCACATTCCCAACCCTAAAATGAATGGTAATAATGGGGGGAAAACTTGTGACGTGAGCCAAACTTGAACATTCATCGCCCACATGAACTTACTCAATTTTTAACATTTAGAATGTTACAAAAGATTTCCGTTTCAAATAAATGCTCTTCTTTTGAACTTTCTATGTACCAAAGAATCCGGAAAAAAATGTGTCATGACTCACAAAATATTAGTATTTTCAAAATTGATGATAATAATTTCTGAAGGATCATGTGACAAGGAAGTCTTGCCGAAAATTCAGCTTTGCCATCAGAGGAATGGTTTTCATTTAAAATATATTCAAATAAAAAAGTTAGTTTAATTTGTAATAATATTTAACGTTTTTTACTGTATATTTGATCAAATAAGGTAACCACATCAGACTTTCAAAAATCTTAACAACCCCAAACCTTTGAACAGCTGTATGCGTATAATTTTCCTGAAGATCTTACTGAACTTATTTGATTGGACTTAAACACATCATGACAGCACACCTTTAGGTTCAGATTTTCTGATATCTGTATATGCCACAGATCTGACAACGGTTTTTATTTTGACGAGAATGTTCTTTTTCAAAGCATCTTCTAGGCACCATTGATGGAGCTGTTGTCAGTGGAATGTCATTTATTGAGAAGAAATAGTGAAATGTGAAAAGATAAGAGTGACAGCTGATGGGACGGGAGTGATGAGTGAGTGGGCGTTGATGGGTCTTTGTGGCTGGAGGGGCTGCAGGCCCTGGCCCTGCATGGCAAGATCATAATTGTAATAGAAATGCCATGATGGTTATTGAAATAAGTGTGACAGTTTCGGCAGCCTCCACACTTTTCAGAAACAAGACGACACAAAGGACTTATCAGCCGGTGTTGTTCTAAGACAATGCCGAGCCGCGAGCGAGTCGTACAATCGTGGGAGAGAAAGAAGCGCGGAGACGGAGCGAAAAAACGACGAGTGAGATAGAGAAAGAAAGGACAGAGGAAATTAGACACGAAAGACAAACCACAAACAAAACAAAGATCTAGAAGAGAGGAAGAAACAGACAAATAAAGAGAACAAGAAAGTAAGCGGGAAATGAAGGCAAAGACACAGAGATAGAGAGAACACAAAGATGGACACATTCACACTAGGGATATATGAAACGACATAATGAACTACACTCTTAAAATAAAAACAAAAGGTTCTTTATTAGGATTTATTGGCGCTTTTCCACTGCATGGTACGGTACGGTTTGGTTTGGTACGGCACGCTTTGGCGCTTTTCCACTGCATGGTACGGTACGGCTCGGCTCGGTACGGCTCACTTGCGGCTCGCTTTAAATGGTACCTGGTCTGTTGAGGTTCCAAGCGTACAGTACTGGTACTAAAATGTGACGTGAAACACTGCAGATCACTGATTGGTCAGATAGAATCGTCACTGTATTTGCGACCAATAGACATCAACACGAGAAACCAAACCCGCTAGATTTAAATAGCCAGTAACAGCCACCGCTGTAAACAAACAGTCTATAATCCCACCCACTTTAAAGCGGCACTAGTACTGCAACTGCAGTGGAAAAGCAACCGAGCTAAAGCGAACCGAGCCGTGCCATGTCGACCCGAGTCGTTCCACGCAGTGTCAAACCGTGCTGCGCCGAGCCGAACCGTACTGAGCCGTACCAGCAGTGGAAAAGCACCATAAGGTGCCATGAAGGGCCTTTGATATTCATGGACACTTTCCACTGCACAAGGTTTGAAGGGGGAAAAAGTTCCATCAATTGAAAGGTTCTTTGGGGAACAAAAAAAATGATTCTTCTATGGCACTGCTGAGAAGAACCCATTTATTTTTAAGAGTATAACCAGTGGTTGTCTAAACAAAGTCGACTAATTACTCTATAAATTGATAAGTCTGGTAGAAACCCATCATAAATGCAATATTGCATTGGACATAAAATATCAGGGAGAGAGGCGTGCTGAAAGGAAGTGTTGATGCCATGCAGGTCAGGGACTGGTGTATACTAACAATAATAAGGCGTCTCTCAAAGGAGGGTAGTGTGGAGCTCGACCAAAAGGGACCAGCACAATGCGGGTAGCAACTCCAACAACATCTCGCCACACAAGCCAGCCATTACCACTGGATAAACCATTAGCTTCCATTATGAGAGGCTGGCTGGAACCAGCATTCAGTATATCGCTGCCTAACAGTGCCATGCAGGGGTGTCTGTAATTAGCCAGACACACTGAGCCCCGCTCCAGCAGGGAGTGTGTATGAGGCCGCTCCATTAGTCCTGCCCCTGTATCTGTGTGCCTGACGGTTGCTGGCCAAGACCTTAATGCATGTGCTGGAGGAACAGTAGCTGTAGCCACAGTTTACAGGGATGAATGTGTATACAGAGCCGGCTACAAATGATGCCTCTAAGTGTGCTTTGAAATAACCGTGGCCCATGTCCTGCTGTACAATTGATTATGGGTTGTTTTTGTTCCTCTATTCTCTGTGAAATTCTTTTTTATCTTAATGATATTTTTGACTTGTTTTCCAGAAAAATATCCTTAGAAAAACAAAAGATACATTTACTAAAAAAATATTGCTTCAAGTAAATGTATCCTCTTTTAAGGATGTTTACTTATAATAGTTAAAGGAGTTATTCACTTTTAAAAAAACTTTTGCTGATAATTTACTCACCCCCATGTCATCCAAGATGTCCATGTCTTTCTTTCTTTAGTCGAAAAGAAATTAAAGGGTTAGCTCACCCAAAAATGAAAATTAAGTCATTAATTACTCTGCCCCATGCTGTACCAACCCCGTAAGACAAATGAAGATATTTTTGATTAAATTTGAGAGCTGTATAACTACCACATTGGCTCCTAAGGGACTGCCTCTTGACGGCCCAGAAAGTCAATGAAGAAAATGTTTAAATATCCCAAGTGACTACCGTGGCTCAACTATACTATACAACTATAATAAACTCGTTATTTTTGTTTGTTTTTTCGCACAAAAAGTATTCGCGTCGCTTGATAAACATAGTTGAGCCACGGTAGTCACTTGGGATATTTAAACATTTTCTTCATTGACTTTCTGGGCCATCAAGAGGCAGTCCTTTAGGAGCCAATGTGGTAGTTATACAGCTCTCAAATTTAATCAAAAATATCTTCATTTGTGTTCCGAAGACGAACGAAGGTCTTACGGGGTTGGTACAGCATGGGGGTGAGTAATTAATGACTTAATTTTCATTTTTGGGTGAACTAACCCTTTAAGGTTTTTGATGAAAATATTCCAGGATTTTCTCCATATAATGGAGTTCATTGGGAACCAAACGGTTCAAGGTCCAAATGAGAGTTTCAGTGCAGCTTCAAAGGGCTTTATATCAAAGGGCGACACCAGATGATGAATAAGGGTCTCATCGAGGACCGTTCGAGTCATGACTCGAAAAACGATTTGTTCATTTTGATGAACGAGTTTGAACATGGAGAGTCACGAACGCTCATTACAAAACAGAGCAATGCGACCATTTGTGCTTATAAAACTTAAACTTTTTAATTTATTTTTTAAATGACCGATCGTTTCGCTAGATAAGAAGCTTATTCATCATCTAGTGTCGTTTAAAGCCAATTGAAGCTGCACTGAAACTCTCATTTGGACCTTGAAGCGTTTGGTTCCCATTGAAGTCCATTATATGGAGAAAATCCTGAAATGTTTTCATCAAAAACCTTAATTTCTTTTCGACTCAAGAAAGAAAGACATGGACATCTTTGATGACATGGGGGTGAGTAAATTATCAGCAAAAGTTTTTTTAAAAAGTGAACTACTCCTTTATCACAATAAGTAAAACATGATATAACTTTCACATGTGTCAAATGTTTAAAATAATACAAAAGTCAATGGGGTGTCCCTCAGTGATAAAAAATAACATTTGTATGTGTCGGCTGTTTATGTATGATAGAATGAGAGAGTCAGTAACCGCAAGGATGGTGTCTCAAAGTTAGATTTAGAGTTGCTCTCTGTCCTCCTTGGTGCTTTGTACTCCCATTGGGATTAAAGTGAAAGACACTCTCCACTGAGAAACATACTCCACACTTCCTTAGGGACCCGAGGCATTCATCCAGCCCTGCCGCCCAGAGAGCCATCATTTACAAGAGGTGACTTCCCTCTCAGTCGGTCTGACTCGCTTTGCCGCAGGATACACCACAATGTCACACAGACAAAACTTTCTTTCCAAAAAAATAAAATAATAATATAATAATAAAATTATATATATATTCTTAACTGGTATTTTCCATACACATCCATAAAACACTTCATAAACCTCTCTAACATTTCTTGTTGTGCTTTTCCACTGCTGGTACGGCTCGGCTCATCACGGCATGGCTCGGTTCGGTTGGCTTTAGCTCGGTTTGCTTTTCCACTGCAGTTAGTATCGCTTCAGTGGTGGGAATTATAGTCTGACTGTTATATTTTATCCACACCTCTGCAACCAAAGAACCTGCACTCTGCACTTCGTCCACTGACCACGATTCAGCCATTTCTTTTTTGGAAGTTTTCTTTCTTTATTTTTTCTTAAAGCAAGTACTTTTAAAAGAGTGCTACAGCAGTGGCGGTTATTGGCTCGCAAATACAATGACGCTGGTAGTGACGATTCTGTCTGACCAATCAGTGATCTGCAATGTATTCACGTCATATTTTAGTATCGGTATTGTACGATTGGAACCTCAACAGAGGCTGTACCATTTGAAGAGAACCAAAGTGATCCGTACCGTACCGTACCATGCAGTGGAAAAGCGGCACAAGTGAGCCGTACCAAACCAAACCGTACCGTACCATGCAGTGAAAAAACGTCAAAGCGTGCCATACCGAACCGTGCCATACCGTACCATGCAGTAGAAAAGCGTCATTAGATGTCTTTAACTGACAAGACAAAAATACGAATTAAGATTTTTTTTATATATACTTATAAAAAAAAAAATATTCTTTTTTATTTGCACTTCAGACTCTCTAAAGAAAACGCAAGATAAAACCACGTCTTGGTCAAAAAAACCAAACAGATTAAATAAGAAAAAATTGAAGATTAAATTGTTTGATCTTCGTTAAGCAAAAAGGAAACAACGGATCCCTGAAAACTGAAGATGCCTAATGATCTGAGAGCGCAGCGTATTACAGAGGTCCATAAACACTAGAACACATATAGGGAGACATAAAGTAGGACTTAACCTCTTTAACTCATGAGTACCGACGAATAAAAGAGATCAAAATAAAACTCTGAAATGTCAGAGAGGGGCGGAATAAGCTGAAAAAAGAATCTGACAGCTAGTCAGAGACAGTCTGGAAGAGAAATGTCATTAGGCAGTCCAGGGTGGGAAGAGGGCTTTTCATGAACGCCACTCTGTCCCCATGACTCAAACTCTCCACTAACATGAAACAGTGAGGATTTAATCAAAGAAGAGCTCAAAAATCCAGACAGCTTGCATGGCGAGGTGTGACGTGCCGGGAGCTTTCAGCGGAATAATTGATCTGCTGAATTTTTAACTCAAAATTCATCCACAATACTCTATAACAAGCATTCAAAATCTAAAAATCACACTGGGGTAATGCAATAGAAGTTATGTGTTACATAATCAAAGAACTTCTTTCAACTACTTTAACAAGAAATGCGTTACTTGTTAACTTAATGTATTAATGTAAGGCAAATAATTGGTTGTGTGTGTGTGTGTGTGTATATATATATATATATATATATATATATATATGTGTGTGTGTGGGTTTGTATATACAGCCAAACCAACTTGCGATCATTTTGAAGAAAGCTGTAATGTTAGAATGGTAAGATTGGTAACATGTGACAAAGACAGTAACTTCAATGCTAGTGACTATTTAAAGGCTCCACAGACTCACCACAGCGGCCTTGGTGATGCACTCGGATGTTCTTCTGGGTGGCGCAGGCTTTCATGTTGAGCTCACATTCGCTTTGGTAGTCCAGGCCATCGCTGCCGCACACCACGTGCTTGGGGACGTTCTCACAACTCAGAGGACACATGCACTTGGCGGACAGACCGTCTGATGACTGGATGCAGGTGCTGCCAAAGCTACAGGTCACCTCACTGCACGGGTCCTTCAGGGCTGAAAAACAAGAGATAGAGAAAATGTACAATACAATTTGATGTCATAATCCTGTGTAGCTATGTGGTAGCTAGATGGTCAAAAAAGCTCATCAGTTCACCAAAAAATCTAAATTCTGTCAGTAATTACTTACTCTTATGTTGTTCCAACCCCATAATTCTTTCGTTCATCTTTGAAGCACAAATTAAAATATTTTTGATTAAATCTGAGAGCTGGATCACTCCTCCATAGGCCTCTGAGGGATTGAAACTTAGAAAAGTTAAAGACATCGTTAAAATTGGCCACTATTGGTCGACGCTGGTCATGTGTGTGTTGCGTGTGACGTACAACACAAAAGCGTTGCGCTGTTACACTACGTGAACTAACTCGAGGCCCATAGAGAAGGAAATTAATAGTTGAATTCGCACAAAAAGTATTCTCGTCGCTTGATAAACTTAAGATTGATCCACTGTAGTCACTCGGACTATTTTAACGATGTCTTTAACAACTTTTCTGGGCCAGCAAGTTTCAATCGATTAGAAGTCTATGGAGGAGTGATCCAGCTCTCAGATTTAATCAAAAATATATTAATGTGTTTGAAGATGAACAAAAGTCTTATGGGGTTGGAACCACATGAGGGTGAGTAATTACTGACAGAACTTAAATTTTTGGGTGAACTATCCCTTTAAGTTGTATACAGTACGCTGATATGTATTCATACGTCCAATAACGTTACACATGCTAGCAAGCAGTGCTCGTTTCATGATCCACTTTTGGTTGTGTTCGAGTAATTGGCTAGCTTATGTTCATACTATAAAGTCTGTTTAAGGTGGGAGTTCAAGAGTGAGCTCCAAACATCCACGCTATTATTGAGATAAAATTGGGTTCAAATGAGGAACGGCCTCCCAGGACCTCCACGCGGCTCAGACGTGCCCCGTGTCGATACAGATGCCAGAGTGAAGTGGCTTAACCAGGGCTGAAGAACAGCTCAGTACCCCAGACTTGAATATTTGGACACAGCTGGGTGGGTGTACAAACAAGTCACTCTAATTCACCACGGACCATTTCAAGCAAGCTTTGCATTGACAAAACATTCTCAATTGATATGCTTCAGCATACCCGTCCTTATACTGGAGCGACATAATCAGTTTTTTTTTCCACTCTGAAAATAAGAAAGCCCTGTTTTTTTGTTTTTTTTTCTGCAAAAGACTTTGTCTGTTTCTTATTAAACATTCAAACACTCAGGACTGAAGTTGAAGAAATGATTTACACAAAATGAAATTTCTGTCATCATTGGTTCCAAACAAACCCTGGACACTCTTTTTCATATAATGAAAGTGAGAGAGAGCCGAAGCTGTCAAGTTTCAAAATGACAAAAAAGTACCATAAAAGTATCATAAATACTAGGGATGCACCGATATGAACATTTTGGCCGTTACCGATAACCGATAATTCTTTACATTTGAAAGCCGATAACCGATATTTGGCCGATAAATCAAAACTCAATTTTTTTTTTAATACTTTGATAGCCTGTTTACATAAATAAAAGGCTCACAAGCCTCGTCTCAAACACTTTTAACATAAATCAAACATATACTTGGGTATAACCTAGTTTGAACCAGTGTAAGATTCCTTAACTTTTATTTAATTTTACACTGGGCAACTTTCATTATTAAAAAACGGTAACACTTTATAATAAGGTTTAGCATTAGTTAGCATGAACCAACAATTTTCTAAGAAATTTTTAAGAAAGTTGTATCTAAAATTAGTCAATGCACTGTGAACTAACATGAACACATATTTTATTAACACACCTGAGCAGGTGTGTTTGATCAGGGTCTTCAGGGTTATGAGAAACTTATGTTTTGACTTATGTCCGATTGACAGGTGTAAGGGGATAAGGGGATGCGAGACGCATAACAGTTACTATAGTAGGCTATTGCAGTTACTTTAGTACGCAATAACTCCAGAGCACGGATGAATGGAAAAGAGGGTAGGGCCTCGAGCACGAGAAGTTTCTCTATGCTGGTGTTTCTGTATTATTCCTAGGGTGTATTAAATGTGATTTGATAGTTCATCTGTGTCAAGAATTTTGTTTTGGATTTATCAAGTCAAGCCAGTATATGGCATCCAAGCGGAAGTTTTACTTTGTAATGCACCAGGGTGATTTAACTGAAATTAATACATTTCTATTTTTGATACTCATTTGATTATTATCATTATTATTTAGATGATACATATTCATGAGGCGCTGACAAACACCGAGATGCTGAAGAGTGAACGGACCGTGTCACTTCAGAGGGGCTAGTTTCATTTCCGACCGTCCCCACAAATGCTATCGGCTCTAATTTGTTCTCACTATCTCTGTCCCTGTTTTCACCTCTCCCGTGCGTCATATCAGCCAGCCTACAGTCTTCGCCATCATTTGTGGGTTTTACTTTGTGTAAATCTGCTAAGAGAACCCACTTGTTTAATTAAAGGTTTCTGCCTCTCTCTAAGGACCACGCTCCACTTTTGCAGTGTGACACGCACACACAAACCCACTCACACGCATGTGATAAACCTGGCAGGCAGCATCGTAAGGATGAGATCAGTGGTGTTTTTGTGTGTTGTGTGATCAAAGTGTTCATTCTCTTTTCCTCCTCTCCCTCGCTAAAAAAAGACGACTGTGCCTCCCTCGTCTTTGCACGTCTGAACCTCGCACTTCATCAGCCTGGGCTTGCTAACTAACCAACCAGTAGCACTTCCAAAAAACTCATTGTGAATGTTTGTGTGGGGGAAGTGCTAATACACACCCAACATCCGCACACAGGGAGCATTTTTACACTTTGCAGCAATGCTAAAGGAAAGATGAGGGATACAGTGTGGTTTAGTTTAGTGGCTCTTAACCATTTTGAGGCCACTCTTTGACCAAGACCATATTTGAAGGCCCAACATCTGCGCTGATATGTACAGCACTAGTCAAAAGTTTGAAAGGGGGGGGGGGGGGGGGGGGGTATGTTACAACCGTTTGAGTTTGAAAAGGTCAAAAAAGAAAATCACATACCCCACCTTTAATAAAAATAAATCATCAAAAAGGATCCTTTACAGGGAATTTGTCAGAGTTGGGTAAACTTATTTAGCAGACAATCGGAAAAAAAAATATTTTGCATTCTCTGATTCCTATGATCTCTGATTAGTTTTCCAAAAGTGAAGAAAAAAAAAATCCTCTTTTTTTTTCCCGCTTAACAGTTCTAAGTTTTTTTTTTTTTCCATTTTCAAGGGACTGATTACAGTGGGCAGTAGAGAGAGAGATGTACAATTTGTGAAACAGCCACACAGCAGCTAGTTTTCTTAAATGTAATGCTAAGGTAATAAAACACTAAGTATAGTCTCATAAATGTACATGCACTTTAAAAAAACAAAAACAAAAATATAAAAAACTTTAGAAATGCATCATTACAGTCTATACATTATATATATATATATATATATATATATATATATATATTTTTTTTTTTTTTTTTTTTATTTAAATGTAAATAAAAAAAAATGCTAAATGATTCATCTCTAACATGTTGAAAGTTGTTACCCCACTCTCGCCTATGCAGTACATATTTTCCCTAAAATAACAAACAAGTCTGTTCGGTATGATGGCTTTTAGACTGACTGACGCATTCTGGTACTTTCTTTATCTTCACAGTCATAACTAGTGGCAACTGTGCTCTGACTCATTACTTCCACTTCAACAGATTGGCCTCCTTCCCAAAGCCAAACTCCAAGACTTTTGATTTCATCAGTCTGATGAAAAGCAGTTCTTTAAATCAGTTCTGCTGCGTCTGTCATAAAGTACACATTCAGAAAAGTCAGACAATCCGCATAAACAGCTTCTTGGTGGCGCTCTGTTTGTTTTGTGACAGCACACAGAATTGCCTCAGCGAACCCATTAAATAACAGTCAGAGCTTTTTCCACCTATTGTCGCTGAGAGTTGATGAGCATTGAGGAAAAGGATGAGCTGATTAAAATGCAAAAGGCTGCCCGGTAAGGTGTGTATGCGGCTCTCCGCTGTGTTAGCACAGATAAGCCGCCCTCTCACACTGAGACAAGCAGGCAAATTGCCCTTTAGAATGTGACCAGCGTCGCAAACCGAAAGGCTATGAATCGATGGGGTCGCCACGGAGATGAGTCGTTTCCTCCTTGTGCTTTAGCGCTCATTTTCAGGGATGGAAATACAGTATCCTGAGGAAAGAGCCGGAGCTTATAGTTACCCATTGATGAACTGGAAATGTCGCTCACAGCCAATTAACTGCTCTTCTCCTGCTCTGAAGAGGTTCAAGACAATGAGAAAAGAGAGGCATGAAGAAATAATAGGACCTATCCACAAGTTTCCTACGCCCCATGAGGCCTTGCGTCAAAAGTGGGCGCGACTTCCGGTTTGAAGTAAACAAAGCGCTACTTGGCATGCTTGACACTCGTTCATTCAACAGTTGACAGTCATTCAAGTTATAGCGATCCAAACTAGCTAACGATGTGGGAACATAACCTCAACGAAATTAAAAAGGGTGAAATAACTGTACCTTTACCCTCCGCAGTAGTTGATTGGAAGTATTATAATAACATTATTAATAATCAATACTCATCAAGGCATGTTGACAGACAGTTGTGCGAGCTGACAAACAATTAAAATAAAAAATACACACTTAGTCATTGTGCTTTGGAGTTTATTCAAAATTATAAATGAATGTGCTACTTGAATACATTAACTGGCACTTTTGGTATTCTGTCACCTCAGGCTTTGATCCTGAGTTTAGGTGCAACATCAGTAGAGAACAGCCAAACACATGCTGATAAAAGTTTATAGAATATTAAGAATTTAAACAAATGTACACAGGATGATCACTGTGATTTCGTTTTCAGCTTATGTCCAAAACAATCACGTTTAAGCCACTGAATTAGTTTAGTCCGGCTATACATACAACCGCGAACAGCGCATGCTGTCCCTGAGCTCCGTAACGACATCTCTCATAAAGATTTGCGTCTT